TGCTGCAGGCAGAAGATTAACCTACCTGTGCCTTGGTGCCAGCCCCTATTAATAAGTTTTGATATTAGGTATTTCTTTTCTTTTTAAGATTTGTTTGTTTACTTGAAAGGCAGAGTTGGGGTGGGGGAGGCAATCTGCCATGTGCTGATTCCCTCTACAAATGGCAGAGTGAATGGCTGGAACCAGACCAATTTGAAGCCACAAGCCAAGAGATTCTTTCAGGTCTCACATGGGTGCAGAGGCCCAGGTACTTGGGCCATCTTCCTCTGCTTTCCCTGTCTCATTAGCAGAGAGCAGCTGGGACTTGAACCAGTGCCCATACAGAATACCAGTGGCTTTACCTGCTGAGCCACAGTGCCAGGCCCGCTATCAGTTACTTCCGATCTTTCACTTCAGTTGTTCCAAAGTTGCTCAGGACCTATTCTATTCTATTCTAGGTCCTTTGCATTTTCACAAACAGCTTAAAATCAGCTCAGCAATAAAAAAATGTTTGAGATTTCTAAGTTGGATTGTATTTTATACAAAGATCCATTTAGGATGCAATATATAAATATTGGGTTGGGTTCAGCATTGAGGCATAGCAGATAAACACCAGTTCCAGACCCAATTCCAATTCCAGTCCAGCTCCCTGCTAATGCACCTGGGAAAGCAGAAGAAGGCACAAGTGCTTGGGCCCCTGCACCCATGTGGGAGACAGGGAAGAAGCTCTGGACGCCAGGCTTCAGCCTGACCCAGCCTTGTCTGTTGCAGCCATTTGGGGAGATCTCTCTCTCTCTCTCTCTCTCTCTCTCTCTCTCTCTCTCTGTAACTCTGTATTTCAAATAAATAGATAAACCTTATTTTAAAAAATAAAATTGGTTTTATTCAGTATACTCATCTACATGTTTTTATTTATTTTATTTAAGGTATACAAATTTTATGTACTTCATACATACAGACTTAGTAACATAGTAACTTAGTAACATCCCATCCTGCCTTCCCTCCCACCCATGTTCCCACCCTTCTCCCTCCTTCCTATTTCCACTCTTAATCTTTACAAAGATCTATTTTCAGTTAACTTTACACTCATAAGGTTAACCCTACACAAATAGTATGAAGAAAAAAAGATTGTTCCTCAACAGTAGATTCAAGGGCTGCAAACAATCATCAAATCTCAAAATGTCCATTTCACTCCTATACATTACATTTCAGGTACTCTATTAGTTACCACAGATCAGGGAAACTTATGATATTTGTCTTTTGGGGACTGGCTTATTTCACTAAGTATAATGGTTTCCAGTTGCATCCATTTTGTTACAAAAGACAGGATTTCAATTTTTTTTTACAGCTGAGTAATATACCAGAGTATATGTATCCCATAATTTCTTTATCCAGTCATCAGTTGATGGACATCTGGGTTGATTCCATATCTTAGCTATTGTGAACTGAGCTGCAATAAACAAGGCGGTACAGATAATTCTCTCATATACTGATTTCATTTTGTTTGGGTAAATTCCCTGAAATGTGACTGCTGGGTCATACAGTATATCTATTTTCAGCTTTCTGAGGTAACTCCATACTGCCCTCCACAATGGTTGTACCAGTCTACATTCTCACCAACGGTGGATTACAGTACCTTTTCCCCCATATCATTGCCAGGATTTACTGGTTTTTGATTTCTGTATGAGAACATTCTGACTGGGGTGAGGTGAAACCTTATTATGATCATGATTATGATAGTTCGTGATCCTGAGCATTTTTTCATGTGTCTGTTGGTCATCTGAATTTCATCCTTTGAAAAATGCCTGTTCACGGATGTCCTAAACAGCACTCTGGCCTCAGAATCAGCCCTAAAGGCATTCGGATCCCACTGAAAAGTCCATGAGAGTATTTCAGGCATGGAAAGCCAAGACACTCTGGCAAAAAAAAAAAAAAAAAAAAAAAACCACACACACACATACACACCTAAATGAAAGATCTCTGTGAGTGAGATCCCAGTGGAAAGAACAGGTCTTCAAAGAAGGAGGCACCTTTCTCTGAAGGGAGGAGAGAACGTCCACTTTGACTATGATGACTATGACCTTGTCTAAATAAGGTAAGAGTCGGTGAACTCAAAAGGCTTCCATAGCCTTGGAAACTCATGACTGGAGCATAGGGAGATTACTGATGCCATAAAGAGGAGTGTCAATTTGTAAAGTCAACAACAGGAGTCACTGTGCTCTTACTCCTCATGTTGGACTCTCCTGCCCTTTAATTGTCCTGGTACATTGTGATTTAAATGAATAACCGAGTACTCCAAACAGTATTTTTTCCCCTTTGTGGTTCTGTGTGGGGGCAAAACTGTTGAAAATCTTTTCTTAAATGTATGCTAAACTGATCTTCTGTATTTAAGAAAATTGAAAATGAATCTTGATATGAATGGAAGGGGAGAGAGAGCGGGAAAGGGGAGGGTTGCAGGTGGGAGGGAAGTCATTGGGGCAGGGGGAAGCCAATGTAATCCATAAGCTGTACTTTGGAAATCTATATTCATTAAATAAAAGTTAAAAAAAAAAAGAAAAATGCCTGTTTAAGTCCTTTACCAATTTCTTAACTGGATTCTATGCTATTGTTGTTGAGTTTGAGCTCTTTATAGATTTCGGAAATTAATCCTTTATCAGCTTCACAGTTTACAGATATTTTCTCCCATTCTGTAGGTTGCCTCTTCATCTTGCTGGGTATTTGTTTTGTGGTACAGAAGCTTCTCAGCTTGATGCAATCCCATTTGTTAATCTTGGCTTTGATTATCTATGCTTCTGGGGTCTTTTCCAACTAGTCTTTGCCTAGGCCAATGTCTTGCAGGGGTTCTCCACTATTCTCTAATAATTTGATAGTATCAGGTATTAGGTCTTTAATCCATTTTGAATGGATTTTCGTGTAAGATGTAAGGTGGGGGTCCTGCTTCATACCTCTGCATGTGAAAATCCAGTTTTCCTAGCACCATTTGTTGAACAGACTGTCCGTGCTCCAGAGATTGGTTTTGACTCCTTGGTCAAATATAAGTTGGGCCAGCGCTGTGGTGAAGCAGGTTATCGCCCTGGCCTGAAGCGCTGGCATTCATATGGGCGCTGGTTCGAGTCCCGGCTGCTCCACTTCTGATCCAGCTCTCTGCTATGGCCTGGGAAACCAGTGGAGGATGGCCCAAGTTCTTGGGCCCCTGCACCCACATGGAGACCTGGAAGAAACTCCTGGCTCCTCGCTCCTGGCTCCAGATCGGCACAGCTCCGGCTGTTGGGGCCAACTGGGGAGTGAACCATCGGATGGAGGACCTCTCCCTCCTTCCCTTTGTCTCTTTCTCTCTCTCTCTCTCTCCCCCCTGTGTAGCTGACTTTCAAATAAAAATAAATAAATCCTTAAAAAAAAAAACAAATAGAAGTTGCTTAGATTGATTTCTGGCACTTCTAGTCTGTTCCATTGGTCTATCCATCTGTTTTTGTACCAGTACCAGGCTGTTTTGATTATAACTGCCCTGTAGTATGCCTTAAAATCTGGTATTGTGGTGCCTCCAGCTTTGTTTTCATTGTATAAGATTGCTTTAGCTATTTGGAGACTCTTGTGTTTCCATATCAAGTTTAGCATCATTTTTTCTAGGTCTGAGAAGAATGTCCTTGGTATTTTGATTGGGATCACACTGAATCTGTAAATTGCTTTTGGCAATATGGAAATTTTGATGATATTGCTTCTTACAATCCATGAAAATGAAAAATTTTTCCATTTTTTGTGTCTTGTTCTATTTCTTTCTTAATGTTTTGTAATTTTCATTGTAGAGATCTTTAACATTCTTGGATAAATTTATTCCAAGGTATTCGTTTTGCAGCTATTGTGAATGGGATTGAATTTAGAAGTTCTTTCTCAGCCATGGCATTGTCTGTATATACAAAGGCTATTGATTTTTGTGTGTTAATTTTATATCCGGCCATTTTACCAAACTCTTATAGAGTTCCAATAGTCTCTTAGTTGAGTCTTTCAGATTCTAAATATAGAATCATGTAATACTTAAGCTTCAAGTTGTATTCAATTCAACAATATTTCGTAGTTTTTACTAGAAATGTCTTGGACATCTTTTGTCAGAATTATCCCTACATATTTCAAAATTTTCATGGTATTATAAATAGCACTGTTTCTATTTCCAACTGTTCTTGCTATTATAAAAACACACAATTGATTTTAGAATATTTATCTTGTATTCTACAAAGAGCTCTTTATTAGTTCTTATTAGTTATTATAAAGTCATAGACTCACTGGATTTTCTACAAAGATCATCACTGTCAATGACAGAAAAATCTCAAAAGTTTTCATCATTTCTAACCTAAATGCCATTTATTTCTTTTTCTTATTTTACAATGATGGCTACCCTCGGCAGCACAATGTTGAACAGAAGTGGTAAGAGAAAATACCCTTTTTGGTTCACAGCCTTAGGGAGAAAGCATTCAGTGTTTTACCATTACATATGCTATTAATTATAGATTTTTATAGATGCCTCTTATTAGGTTATAGAAGCTCTTTCTGTTACTGATTTCAGTTCCACTGTAGTCAAAGAATATATCCTGTACAATTTAAGTCCTTGTAAATTTATTGAAATTTATTTATGATACAGAAGATATCACCTAATAGAGTCTTAATAGAGTCTTTTTTTTTTTTGGTATAACTGATAGATTTTAGACAATGTTATATTGCAGTCCAACACATACAAACACACTGTATCACTTAAAAATAATCATTTTGAGAAACCAAAACTAGTACATCATTCAAAATAAACAAGAGAGGGAATACAGGCAGGTTAAAAAGAGAAAGTTGGGGTGACATTATAATTCATTATGAACAGAAATCTGGCATCTTATTTTTTAAAAGTAAAATAATAACAGTAACAACTACTTATAAAATGTGTCTGAAATTCTTGCTTTAAGGTTATGAAACCAGCTAAACAGATTGTGCTGATTATTACATAGGCAAAAAGCAAACAAACCACTGGACGTAATACCAACCTGAGCAGCTCCCAAAGGGGGAACACGTAAACGCTTCATAGCTTTTTGTCTGTCACCATCTTCAAGTTCATTGGTCACTACAGCCTAGAAAGATAAGTTATTAAATTATGAAATGAGTTATACTAAATTTGAATCTTGCATTAATAATTATGCAACATTTGTATGCATTGTTTTGTGATAATCTCTTGATGAGTTTACACTGACAAAGCAAAAGAAAAAAAGTCATATGATTATTGTATTGAGAAGCCAGGGTGGTGGCGTAGCAGGTTAAGTTGCCATCTGCAGTGCTAGCATCCCATAGGAGCACCAGTTCGAGTCCTTACTGCTCTACTTCTGCACCCACGTGGGAGACTCAGAGGAAACTCCTGACCCAATCCCAGCTGTGGTGGCCATTTGGAGTGGGAAACACTAGATGGAAGATCTTTCTCTCTGTAACTCTGCCTTTCAAATAAATAAAAATTAAATTAAAAAAAAGACTATATGTATTGAAAGCTAACAACTATTTGGAGAATAGGAATGAGGAAGTATTTCTTTAAAAATAAGACATGAATGTGATTGCAGATACATGGTCATTATACCTCAGTTTCAGAGATGAGCTGGTTAATTTTCTTGCATGTATAAAATGGGGCTACTTCTACATGAGCCACTCGCCAATCTGCTCCACGAGATGTTTCCAGGATCTTGTCATGCTTTTTAAGGATTTTTCGAAATCCTGTAAAATTCAGATTCTACAGGAAGAAATGAAAAACACAACCATAAAGTCTCCACCACCAAAGATGAAAACCAATAAGCACTAAGCTGACTAGACAAAAACTGAATACACTGGGAGATGCAATGCTTCTGAGTAAAGAACACTTCCAGAAAAGGTCTTGCATGTATCACACACTGAATATATTTATTTGTTTCTCTGCTTTTTGACGAACTAGAATAGATGTGCATTTTCTCCCCTACCATGCAAGCATGTATGTGTCAGCAAGGAAAACGGAAGATCACCTTTCTCTTCAATGGCATTCTCCTTCCCTTCCTTCTCACTTTGTGGGTAGTGGTGTGTGGTCAATCAGTAGAAAGGAGTGACTACATTCTGGTTCAGCTGATGATGGCTAGGAACCCTCATTTTTCCCTCAGTTTCTACAACAAAATACCATACTTCTGGGGCACTGGTTCGAGTCCTGGCTACTCCATTTCCGATCCAGCTCCCTGCTAATGCACCTGGGAAAGCAGTGGAAGATGACCCAAGTGTTTGGACCCCTACACCTGAGAGACCCGGAAGAAACTCCTAGCTCTTGGTTTTGGATCAGCCCAGATCTTGCTGTTGTGGACATTTGGGGAGTGAACCAGCAAATGGAAGATCTCTCTCCCCTTCACTCTCTCTGTTACTCTGCCTTTCAAATAAATAAATAAATCTTTTAAAAATTATACCATACTTCTTTACAGCATCAAATTCTATCAGGCTTTACAAAAAAGTAGGAAGCCATGAACTTGCAAAGTTAAATTACAAACCAGAGGTCTCCCAAGATGACTGACCAAATATCCCTATCAGTGAAAAATTTAGCACTCACTGCAAATAGGCCTTGCTTGCTTCTTTATAATTTTCTCTCATAGTTCACTGAACTTGGAGTGCATGTGTCATAACTTAGAGGCAGTTTTTAGTCAATCTTCTCTCATTCTCAAAAGAAACACATTCTTACAGAATAACACATTCTTACAGAATAAACCCAAAAAACACGGAATAGAACATGATTTTTATAGTTAAAAACTATTATTGCTGTCCCAAGGAGTATTTTACAATGATACAAAACAAAATGATAGTGAATTTAACAGGGAATTTCTCTGTAACACACAAGCACAGAGCTAATGAACTAAGAAATGTTAATGTTTTTAAAGCATTATAGGAAAGTGGAATATATTGTTTCCCTTAAAAATTAAATTATAAAACTTAAATTAAAAATTATAGAGGATGGGAGGCATCATGTTCTTAAAACTGTATATATGAAATAATGAAGTCTGTTCTCTTTATAGAAATATATTTTAAACTATAAAACCATAGATGAAGTTCAAAGAAAAGGAATGTATCATTATATTATATATATTTTACAATGTTAGTTTTCTATTAAATTTATCTCCCCCGAGTCTGTATCTGAATAACTCTTAAGTTACCAAAGGAAAAAAGTGAATTATTCAAAGAGGAAGACGGAAATACACACATTAACAATTTATATAGTTATTACAGATATAAAACTTTAGTTACTCTTAATTTTGAAATTCTTATATCCCAGGTATTGCTTTTATAGCATAATTTAGCTTTTTATATGATATATCATCCTACGATGATCCTAACCACTCATCTAAGTAATAATCAAAAGAATAAAATGAAAAAAAAACAGTATATCAACTCTATAAAGATAAGAAAGTTGTATTTACCTATTTAAATAGCTTTCAATTAAATTCCTAATAAATTTAACTATGTCAAGAAACATGTAAAGAACAAAAAATGAATAAATGTCCTGTATCTCTGTAATTTAGAAAAACTGAAGTTTTAGAAACACTGAGTGATAGAAATAATGGCCCAGATTTAAGTCCTTACACACATTTGCCATATCCTGATTTCTGTTCTTTCTCAAGATCTTTAAAAAACAACAACAAAACAGCCATATTATAGCCTGCCAAGAATAAAGTTGGTAAGGTTCTTTTAGTGGCACATTAAAAAGTCCAGATCTTTTATTAATGTTCATTGAAGAAACTGTAACAATCCAACTGCTTTTGGAAAAATTTTGCTATTGCCTGGAAGGAATATAAAAGTTCTTACAATGCCAGCAATGACTTGGTAGATATGTATTATTTCTTATTTCTCTTTGGCATTATCAGAGTTGCTGCTAAAAATAGGACAAAAATGGCTGCTCTGTAAAGCTACCCCAATTCAGAAATTTTCAGAAAATTAATCTTCAGAAACAGAAGTCCTGTGAGCTCTGTTTCTCTGCCTCTGATACTTGTTTCTTAGCCAGGAAGGGCATCTGAAATCCCAACAAGGACATCTCAGGATCACCCTTTTCCAATGGACCCATCTGTCGAGCTCCAGGTAATTCCATCTCCAGGGACTGCTCAGTTACTTCAAGGAGCCATGCACCTGGGTAAAAACCTCATTACCTGATAGTTCTGCAGCAGGATAAGACTGAGGTAGAACTCGCTGAAGGCCAGTTTAAGGTCTTTAATATTCCTGTGTTGGACACGCTCCTCGTGGGACAGGTGGAAGACTGGTTTTCTACGTTGTCGCAGCGTAGTAACACCAGCAGTTTCCTTCTGCGCATCCAGGGATGACTGCAGCTCATTCTGAAGTGTGGCAAACCTGCGCTGAGCCTCTGCGAGCTTCTCTGTAAGAAAACAAGATTGTCCAATCAGTAAGATGAAAAGGTGATCAAAGTTTTCAACGAGGGGCGGCGCCGTGGCTCACTTGGTTAATCCTCCGCCTGCGGCGCCGGCATCCCATATGGGCGCCAGGTTCTAATCCCAGTTGCCCCTCTTCCAGGTCAGCTCTCTGCTGTAGCCACGGAGTGCAGTGGAGGATGGCCCAAGTGCTTGGGCCCTGCACCCCATGGGAGACCAGGAGAAGCACCTGGTTCCTGGCTTCAGATCGGCGCAACAGCAGCCGTAGCGGCCATTTGCGGGATGAACCAACGGAAGGAAGACCTTTCTGTCTCTCTCTCTCTGTCTATAACTCTACCTGTTAAATAAAAAATAAGTAAAATCTTAAAAAAAAAAAAAAAGTTTTCAACAGGGCAGTGGTTAAAAAGCTGACTGGGACTCCCACATCCCATACTGTAGTGCCTGGCTCAAGTTCCACCTCCATTTTTCTGCTAAGTGCACCCTGGGAGGTAGCAGGTGACTGCTCAAGTACTTGGGTTCCTGTCACTCATGTGGGAGACCCAGATGCAGTTCCTAATTTCCAACTCTGGCCAGGCTAGGTCCCAGCTGTTGCAGGCATTTAGGTAGTGAACAAGCAGATGGAAGAAATCTCTCTCTCTCATTCAAATAAAATTTTCAAGTAAAATTTTTAAAATCTATATTAAAAGATCCTCACTGTCCTCTGCCTTTTTACTAATTATTCTAATTTGCTTCTGTAGAATTTCTAAGAAAAAATGTTACAAGTAATATTTAGAACTAGATGCAAAAAATATTTTTGTGTAACATCCTCCTTTTATTTTACCTCACACTTTCCTAACCCACAAAATTTCTAAGGTAACCTTTCCTTTTTTTTTTTTTTTTTTTTTTTTCCCAGAAGAAGAAATCAAATGCAAAGAGCTACTAAAAGTGAAAATAAAATGGTACAGCTGCTTTGGATCTTGGAAAACATTTTGGCAGTTTCCAAACAGTTAAACACAGAGTACAATAGGATTCAGTGATTCTCTCCTAGGTCCACACCTAACAGAACTGAAGACACATGCTCACACTAAAGCTGTACATCTAGAAATACAGCCAAACAGCAGAAAGCAAGGCAAACGACCATCAGCCAACAAATGGATATGTAAGACAAGATGGTGTGCACACATGCAAATACACAATGGAATATCAGTCACAAAAAAGAACGAGTACTACTTCATGCTATAATGTGGATGAATCTTGAAGATACTAAGTGAAAGGAGACACAACACACCTCATATGTATGATTCTATGTATATGAAATGTCCAAAATAGGGAAATCCATAGAAACAGGAAGTAGCTTAGTGGTTGCCAGGGGCTGGGGGAGAGTGGAATGAGGACTGACTGCTAAAAGGGACTGATGAAAATGTTCTGTGATTAGACACGGATGATGGCTGTACAAACTTTGTAGAACTGTACACACTTTAAAAGGGTGAATGCTGAGGTGGAGTGCCTGGGTTTGAGTTCCAACTCTGCTCCCAATTCCAGCTTCCCACTAATACCCACCCTGGGAGTCAGTAGGTGGTGGTGAAGTAGTTGGGTACCACAGAGAAGACCAGGATTCAGTTTCCAGCCCCTGGCGTCAGCCTGGCCTACCCCCAGCTGTTACAGCCATTTTGGGAGTAAACCAGTGTGGACTGAAACTCACCCACTGTTTGTCTATCCTCTGCTTCTGAAATAAAATAATTACCTAATTAATTAGAGGGCAAATGTTATGCTATGTGAATACTTCAATTTTTTTTTAAAAAGCTATTAATCATTTTTAAAAGATTTATTTATTTATTTGAAAGGCAGAACTCAGAGAGGCAAATAAGTCTTCCATCTGCTGGTTCACTCTCCAGATGACCACAATGGCCAGAGTTGCACTGAGCCAAAGCCAGGAACGAGGAGCTCCTTCCAAGTCTCTCATGCAGGTGCAGAGGCCCAAGGACTTGGCTCATCTTCTACTGCTTTCCCAGGCCATAGCAGAGAAATGGATTGAAAGTGGAGCAGCTAGGATTTGAACCGGCACCCATATGGGAGGCCTACACTGCAAGCAGCGGCTTTACCAGCTACGCCACAGTGTCAGCCCCCTAAACATTTTTAATTATACACCTTAGTAGGGCAGGCACCATGGCTCACTCGGTTAATCCTACACCTGCGGCGCCAGCATCCCGTGTGGGCACCAGGTTCTAGTCCCAGTTGCTCCTCTTCCAGTCCAGCTCTCTGCTGTGGCCCGGGAGGGCAGTAGAGGATGGCCTGGGTGACTGGGCCCCTGCACCCACATGGGAGACCAGGAAGAAGCACCTGGCTCCTGGTTTCAGATCGGTGCAGTGCTGGCCGTGGCAGCCATTTGGGGAGTGAACCAACGGAAGGAAGACCTTATTCTCTGTCTCTCTCTCTCTCACTGTCTATAACTCTACATGTCAAATAAAAAAAATTATACACCTTAGTACAGAAACAAGATTAGAATTGGGGTTTAAATTTTTAGTTCGCTGTATCTCTCACTCCATTTTATTATTTCTCCAATGCACATGTTACAAGAAAAAAAGATTAGCAAATATTTTTATCTACAAATACTAAGTATACCTGAATACTTATGTATTTCTATTGTACTTATACAAGGGGTCTGCAAAAAGATCATGGAAAATGAATATATACTATTAAAACGCCATGCAGGTCTTTCAAAAATTTTTGAATCAAAATAAATTTATCTAAATTCCATTTTTCTGTGAACTTTTGCAGGACTTGCAATAGTGGTTCCTTGGTATCCATGGGGGATTGACTCCAGGATGCAAAACCTATAGATGCTAAAATCCCTTACATAAAATGGCATAGTATCTGCATGCAATCTATGCACATCCTCCTGTATACTCTAGATTACTTACAGTATCTACCAAAATATGAATGCTATGTAAATATTTGTTACACTGTGTTATTTAGGGAATAATGACAATGAAAAAAATGTCTATGCATGTTTAATATCAACACCATTTTTATCCCAAACATTCACAATCTATAGTTGGTTGAATCCAGACATGTGGAACTCAGGGATACAGAGGGATGACTGTGCTTTAAAAAACTTCTCTTTCATGGTCACAATGTGGTACACTGGAACCAGGCAAATTTGGGCTCCTTTTTTGCCTCATTAGTTCATTGAATGATTTTAACTTCATTTTTCTGTAAACCATTTAGAGTCTTTCGTTGATGAAATAAAGATAATATCAACTCTCTCCTAAAGTGTAGTAAAGAAAAAATAAAAATGAAGCATAGAAAATGTCAAGTGAGGCCAGTGCTGTGGCTCACTTAGCTAATCCTTCACCTGTGGCGCCAGCACACCGGGTTCTAGTCCCAGTTGCTCCTCTTTCAGTCCAGCTCTCTGCTGTGGCCCAGGAGGGCAAGGGAGGATGGCCCAAGTGCTTGGGTCCCTGCACCTGCATGGGAGACTGGGAGGAAGTACCCGGCTTCTGGCTTCGGATCAGCACAGCATCGGCCGTAGCAGCCATTAGGGGAGTGAACCAACGGAAGGAAGACCTTTCTCTCTGTCTCTCTCTCACTGTCTATAACTCTCTCTCTCTGCCTCTCTCTCTCACTGTCTAACTCTGCCTGGCAAAAAAAAAAAAAAAAAAAGTAAAAAAAAAGAAATGTAAAATAAAAAAAAATACAGCACCCAAAAAACTGATACAATGACAAAGCATTAACAGCTCATTCTTTCTTGATGTTCTCCCATTCCTTGTTTTGTATGTGGTTATATTATACTATTTTATCTTTAGTATTTTTGTCCTGTCTGGCATTACTTCTTCGTGATTCACTGCTTGCTTTTTCTTAGTGAAATTATTTTTAAAAATTTATTTATTTGAAAGGCAGAACTCTAGATAAAAGGCAAGAAAAAGACACAGAAAGAGAGGGAGATACCAATCTTCCATCTACTGGTTCACTCTCCAAATGGCTGGAACAGCCATGTCTGGGCCAGGAGAAAACTAGGATCCAGGAACTCTATTCCAATCTCCCTCACCATCATCTCCTACCAGATTTAAACCAATACTCCATTATGGGATGCCAGTGTCACAAGGGGCAGCTTAACTCACTACACTACAGCTCCAGCCCCTAGAGAAATTATTTCTACAGGATGCTTCCAATCAAGATTCATCTCTATCCATCATTACATGATTATCATTTTCTTACCTTTCAGAATCTCTTTATTTCTTTATTATAATCTCATATGACTTGAAATTTTAATCAAAACCAAAATCATGTTTCCAATCTTGTTGCCAAATGAGTGTCATGAACTGTTGTAGGTCCAGATATCTGCAGTTGGCTTTTAGCTCCTGGACACCACTCTCACCCTTTTCCTTTCCCACCTCCAAAGCCACCAGCATTCCTGAGGCCCAGAAAACACTCCCTTCATTAGTTCATACAGAAATGAACATCAGTGAGGAAAACACCTGCGTCTTGAAAAGCTGTTCGCTCTCCACTGCAGACCTGAACTGGCCATGTGATGCTATTCACTACGATGGATTTTGTGATTTCAGTGGAGATGAAAAGACCCTCGAACAAAAGGGTCAGATCGCAGCACTTAACCATCGAAACAAGGTGGGTGCACTTACTACAAAGGGCACAGATCTCAGTCTAGCATCACATGTTTTAACCCACAGAGACTTCAACTGTGGTTCACTGATCAGGCTATGAAATAAATGGGCAACCTATCAGAATACTGCTTGACTGGTGTAAATGACAAAGTGACCAAACACTTGATTTTAGTCACCACAATGGAAGAGTGACAACCTCTCATCTAATTTCCACATTCCTAGAAAATCGAATGACGCACATACCAAGCTCCCTTGTGGATGGTTTTGCAGCACTGCCACAAGTATATCCTGTAAATGTTTTTCCAATGCTTCCTCAAGAGCCTGGTGGCCATTTATCAGGATGGCTGAGCACTGGGATACAGGGACTATACAGACTTTTCAAGCAT